CTTTGAAATGATACTGTTGTTGTTAGATGATGTCAAGTTGGAACTGATTTAGCTTACCCTCCAGTGGATTTTCACGTGGGAGGAGAAAGCCCATCTTTCTTCCATAGCATAGCTGATGGATTTGAATACTATGCCTTTGATTTGGCAGTGCATTTCCTTACCACTAGGTTACCTACCAGACCCTCTCTCTGAAACGATCAGTTATTTACTTCATGGCACAGAGGTAAGGAGTTGCACTGCCAATCTAAAGGAATATGGTTCAAATCCACCAGCTCTTCCACAGAACAAAGATGGGCAATCTTCTCCTGTGAGATTTACTACCTCTAAAAACCAACTAGAGGGTAAGTTATGAGTCACTTCAGACTCGATGGTACATAGCAAAACAATCATTCATATTCTCATAAGGAACTCTGGATTCCAACCGGATGATACATCACAACAACAATAATAATCATTATTATACTATGTTAGATATTTTAATTCTGCTCACATTTAAAGTCTTTGTAAAGTTTCAGTCTGGGTCCTTAAATTCAAACTTATTATCCTCAAGTTGACTTCAGCCTATCATGATCCTTCATTGTATTTCTAAGGCTATAAATCTTAATGGCAACATCTTTTTCCCCAGGGAGCAATTGGTGGATTCAAGCCCATGACTTTTCAGTTGACACATAATCCATAGTTCAACATATAATGATGCACTAGGGGTTCTGGATTCCCGTCTGTTTCTCTACATTTCCCAGTCTCCTATGCGGTATTCCTGAGAACATAGCTGAGCCCCAGCCAATGAGTTATTGACAGAGCCACTATATGTCCTCCCAGAGCTACTTCGGACGAACTAGGACCAGCCTTTCCTCATCAAATTGAACTTTGCTTGAAAAACAGATACATATATGTTCATCAATTATATTTACAAATTTGACCATTATAAAAGCTTATCATCCACGATGAATGCAAAAGGTCATTACAAAGATAGTGGAGGAAGAGACTGAAATGGATGTCCGAAGAGACTCTATTGCACTAGAGTGCTGAATAGCCAAAGCAAAGGGAAGAAATCTGGAAGTTGAGGAGATCAACAGAAGATTTAAAAGAACAGCTTGGCAAGACAAAGCAAAGTATTATAACGAAAGGTACAAAGAACCAGAGCCAGAGACTCAAAAGGAACAAACTTGCTCTCATTTCTTAAGGTGGAAAAACTGAAGAACAAATTCAAGCTTTGAGTTGCAATACTTAAAGATGCTATGGATAGAATATTGAATGATGCAGGATGCATCAAAAGAAGACGGAAGGAGCACAGAGTCACTGTACTCAAAAGAATTGGCCAACACAGAAGAATTTCATGAAACACCTGTGATAAAGAGACAGTGGTGATGGAGGAAGTTCAAGTTGCTCTGAAGTAACTGGCAAAAAAAACCAAAGTCCTGGGAATTGATGGAATACCAACTGACATATTTCAGCAAACAGACGCTGCCCTGGACGTGTTCACTAAGTTGTGCCAAAATTTCTGGAGGACAGCTACCTGGCCAGCTGACAGAAAGAGATCTATTTTTATTCCCATTCCAAAAAAGGATGATCTGACAGAGTGTAGAATTTATATCACTTATATCACACAGAAGCAAAATTTTGCTGAAGATTATCCAAAATTACTAGAACCATACAACAACAGAGAACTATCAGAAATATGGGCTGGGCTGGGTTTAGAAGAGGCTGTGGTACTAGGAACATCATTGCCAGTGTCAAATGGATCCTGGTCGAAAGCAGAGAATAGACTACGTCAGGTCCTTTGTTTGCAGATCACAACAAACTGTGGCTAACCTTGAAAATAATGGGAATCCCAGAACACCTGGTCATGCTCCTGTGACATCTGTACTTGGACCAGGAAGCAGTTGTTAGAACAGAGCAGGGAAACACTACATGGTTCAAAATCAGGCAGAACGTGCATCAGGGATGTGTCTTGTCTCCATACCTTTTCAATCTATGTGGAACAGATGATTCGGAAGGCTGGTCTTTACAAGGAGGAACGTGTTATCAGAATTGGAGGTAGACTCATCAACAACTTGAGTTATGCAGATGACAAAACTTTGCTCGCTCAAACTAAGAAAGACATGAAGCATTTGCTGCAGAAAGTCAAGGACTGCAGTCGTCGATAAAGATTGAAAATCAACATCAAGAAAACAAAGATTCTCACCTCTATGCCAGTTGGCAATACCAACACAGATGGAGAAGAAACTAAGGTTAACAATCTCAGCTTTTCTGGGTTCACAATCAACATACATGGAACTAGCAGCTAGATTATCAAAAGATGAACTGGTTTAGTAAAGTCAGCTGTCAGAGACTTCTCCAGAGTGCTGAAATGCAAAAATGTCAGTCTAGAGACTAAGGTGTACCTGATCCAAGCCATGGTCTTTGCCATTACTTGCTATGTATCAAAAAGCTGGACAGTGACTAAGGATGACAGATGAAGAACTGATGCCTTTGATCTGTGGTGCTGAAGAACAGTATTGTACACAGCATGGACTGCCAAGTAAAGAAACTGGTCTGTCCTGGAGAGGGTGAAACCAACTTGTTTTCTGGAGACAAGGACTTTGAAGCTCCATCTCACGTATGATGGACATGGTGCCCAGAAGGACCATGGAAGACATCATGCTCAGAAGCAGGAAGGGCAGGTGTGTTGAAGACAGTGAGATTGGCTCATGATAGGACAGTGTTCGAGCTGTTGTACATAAGGCTGCTATGAGTCTCAGGCAACTCAACAGCACCTAACAACAACAACAAACATCGCGCTTCTTCTTGTTAAGTGTCATAAGTTGGCTGAGACTCACAGCGTTCTTAGTATAACAGAACAAAGCCCTGCCCGCCCTGCACCATCCTCACAATCTCCTCTGTGCTTAAGCCCATTAGCCTAGTCACTGCATCAGTTCAGCTCATTGAGGGTCTTCCTCTCCTTCCCTGGCCCTCTACTTTTCCATGCATGATGTCCTTCCTCAGAGACTGGCCCCTCCTGATGACATGCCCAAAGTGAAACAAATTTTCACTCTCCTCATTTCTAAGGAACTGGCTGGCTTCATTTCCTCCAGGACAGCCCATATATTCAATATTCAATACTCTTTGCTAACACCACAATTCAAATGTATTTCATTCTTCTCGGTCATGCTTATTCACAGCCAACTTCAGGTCTCCTTTCAAATCCTCTAGCTCAGGGGACCTAGTGGGTGAGCAGCCATGCTACATACCAAAGGCAAGGGGTTTGGAATTCACTAGCTGTTCTGAGGGAGAAAGATAAGCAACTTCTTCCTGTGACATTTACAGCCTCGGTAACATCTGCTGGAGGGTCAGCTAGGAGTCACTTCCAACTTGATAGCAAATAATCAAGTTGAGCAACTGAGAGCTACCAGTCAAACAGTGGAGAAAGGCATCCTGTACACTCACCCTCCTTTTCATTGCTCTTTGGAGTTAGAAATGGCTCATAGCTAACACTCCAGAAAGTTTCTGAGGCTGTAAATTGCATGGGACGTTGTTCATCCTTCCTCGCCTGAGGCTCCAGTGGATTCAAACTACCAGAAAGAGAAGCTTGGAGATAGTAGTAGTAGATGGTAGTAGTAGCAGCAGCATTCAAGACACAAAAGACTTAACAAAGCAGCTGCAGCAATAATGAAGCCCATGTTTACCAGCTTTTAGCACTTGCTATCTAAATATGTGCTTATCTAAGCATTATGTTTTTAGACATAAGTGTTAAGGTTAAAGTCTCAACTCCCTGAGAACTAGGAAGTAAACAACAGTGATTTTAAAACAACTCAGCCTGCTGCCTCTGTGCTTTTCTCACCAGGTCTCCCACAGTTTCTATTTATTTACAGCAATCCTAACAAACCTGGTTTGTTATCTCATATTAGTCAAGAAAGAGAAAACAAGAAGCAGAAAGAAGTGAAGGAGGCATTTGAAAAGAGTAAACCATAACATTCTGATAGTGGAGCTCAAACTCTCAGCGGCAACACATCCAGACAAAAAGCAGAGCAGAGTGTCTGGTGGCTTGGACCAGCTTTACCTAACTGCATCTCAAACTGGTGCGATGGCTGCAAAAGGTTCAGCCCACAACTTATACTAACAATGATAAACAGACGTCTTCAATCAATCTCTTTAAGTTTCTTACGAAGATGTAAAAAGGCTTAGATACCATTAAAATGAGCATAACTCATAGCGACTCTATGAACAGTGACTCTAAACACTGTCCTATCCTGTGTCACCATCACCATCTCCGACCCACTTGAGTCCACTGAGGCAGTCACCATGTCAGCCCATCTGACTGATGGTCTTCTCTTTTACTACCCTTCCACCTTCCCAAGCATGATACCCCTCTCTAATGATATCTTAAAAAGACTCAACAGAAAAGTCTTAAGGAGATTCCAATGATTATGCAAAACAAATGCGTTTAGTTCTGAAAGGCAGAAAGATGGAAAATCTCCTCCAGTGCCTTTTGGGGATCTCTAGCAGCCTAGTGATAAGGGGCTGAGCTACTAGCCTGAAGGCATGAGGTTCAAATCCCCCAGCTGCTCTGTGGGAGATGGACAATCTCCTCCCCTGCGACTCTGAAAACCCACTGGAGAGTCTGTACGAGTCAGACCCCAGTATGTAATAAGTTAGTCACCAAGCCCACTCTCCTTTCCTAGGATGTCATATAATGCTGCTCAAAAATATGACATTGGCATTTGCTTGCAAACAGTTTGACTTGGCATCGGTAGTTCTTCTCACTCTGACGTGGGTGCACATATCCAACACGAAGGAGACCAGATACCTATAAAAGTGAACATCCTAATTCTACCACCTGTGACCTTGGTGACCACACAGCCAGCCACCGGCCATAGCTGATCTCGGTGATCTAGGTCAAGCCTTCACTAGTTTGGACTCAGGATGTAGTCATATGCAGCGTTTACTCTTCCTTCGTTGGACAAAGAACTTCTCCAGCCTTCTTGAGTCTTTCCAGCTGTGCCACTGCATGATGTACTTACCTGAAGAAAGCAGTGTCCCACTGGGGAATGTTCTGCAAGGGTGGTATTGTACACCTGCTTCCGGAAGACAGGTTCGTTGTCGTTCACGTCATCCACAGTGATGCTCACTACGCAGGTGGCAGAGAGCGGGGGCTCTCCGAGGTCCTGAGCTACCACTTTCAGCTCCACTGTCTCCTGGACCTCTCTGTCTAGGATCCGCATAGTGCTGATCACACCGCTCTCAGGATCGATGGTGAAGTAGGGCCCGCACCCCACCGTAGAAGGCAAAGTCTCTGGAGTACAGGGAGCCAGCGGTTGGATTAACGCATAGCGCAGTCGGGCCCCGTCGGTGCCAGGCTCGTCCGCATCGGACGCGCTGACCCACAAGACTGTAGTGCCAGGGACTGCGGCCTCGGACACTGAGGCCTGGTAGTGCTCCTGACTGAAGAGCGGCCTCTGGTCGTTGAGGTCAGCGACCCGGATCAGCAGCATCTCCTCGGTGCTCAGAGGTGGAGACCCTGCATCCGTGGCCACCAGCCGCAGTGCATATAAGTCACGGTTCTCTCTGTCCAGGGGCCCCTGGACGCAAAGAAAAAATACGCCCGGGGAGCCCCCGGGGAGCAGAGAAAAGGCCCCTTCTCCGCCCTCCAAGGACAAAGAGATGCTCTCGCCTCTGAGACCCACACCAAGCTCCCCAGTGGCGTCCTCTTCCTTCCCCAGGTCGTCATCAGCATCTGACACGGAGACGCGAGCCACATAGTCACCCAGCGGAGCGCCTTCAGAGACCCGGGCCGCGCCGCCCTCAGTCAGGAAAAGCAGGTGAATAGCAGGTGGGTTGTCATTCACATCCATGACGGCGACAGACACACGCACGGTGGCGACCTCGGGCTCTGCGCCCCCATCCCGGGCCTCGACCACCAGTTGGTGCCAGGCCTGCGCCTCGCGGTCCAGCGGCCTGCGCAGCCGCACCACGCCGCTCAGCTCCTCCACCGCGAAGTAGGCCGCATCTCCCAGGGGCTCGTCACCTGCCCCGGGCGCTTGGCGCGCGCGGAGCCGGTAGCGCACGTGGCCATTGGGCCCCAGGTCTCGGTCGGTGGCGCGCACGTGGCAGACCTCGGCGCCCAGTGGGGCGTCCTCGCGCACGGCAGCGCGGTACTCTGCTTGCTCGAAAACCGGCGGGTTGTCGTTCTCATCCAGCACGCGCAGCTCCACCCGCAGGCTGCCGGTGCGCTGAGGGTGGCCGCCGTCCCACGCCTCGATCCGCAGCTCGTGCGCCGCCGCCTCCTCTCTGTCCAAGCGCCGCAGCAGCACCAGGTCCAGGGGCTCCAGGGACGAAGAGGAGCCCATTCGCGGAGGCGGCGGTGGCCCGGCAGTACCGTAGCGCAGTTGGAAGAATGGTCCCGCGGGGTCCCCGGCGAGGTCGGCGGGCTGCACCAGGGTGTAGCCCTGTGTACTGAACAGCCCGGCATCGGGGTCGTGGGCACCTGGCAGGCGGAAAGCGGTCCCGGGAGGGCTGAGCTCAGAGACGTCGAGCTGCAGGGAGTCGCGGGGAAAGCGGGGTGAGTGGTCGTTCACGTCGTTGACGCGGATCTCCACCTGCACCACAGCGCCCAGCAGCGTGGCGGCCACGAAGCTGTAGTGGTCGCGTCGCTCGCGGTCCAGGTACCGCGCGGTGCGGATGATGCCGGTATCCGGGTGCACGTGGAAGTCGTCCAGCAGCGGGGAGTCGCTGGAATCCTCCGACAGAAAGAAGCCGCCCCCCTCCTGCTGCTGCGCCAAGGGCAGCCCGGCGCGGATGTCGCCAACCAGCGTGTCCGGGGGGAGCCCCTCATCCACGGAAAGGCTGAGGTTGAACACCTGAGCGGATGAGCCCGAGGCAGCCCACAGGCACGCGTACACGAACAGCCGGAGCCAGGCGCTCTGCGCCCCAGGAGCACCGCCGCCGCTGCCCAGCCGCCTGCAGGGTGACCCTGTGCTCGCTGGGAGCAGAAGGCACTTCCCGGAGGCAGCCCCCCGCCGCTGACACGCATCGTCCATCCTCCGCCCCGAAGGACTCATTGCTCCTCCAGCTTCCGAGTAAATTGTCAGTTTGTGACGGGGTGGCAGAAAAATCCACGAGTCTCCTCAGTGTCAAAGAAGAAAAGACTTTGGCAAAGAAATCAACAGGCTCAGGAGTTGGCGAGGTTGTATCTGCAATTGGTGACAACGTCCTCAAGCCTGCAGCTCACGCAGAGAGGGAAGCTCGCGCTGCGGGTACGACCACAGCCACCTTTGCAGCCCCTGGAATTATTTTAACAAGTCTCATCTTTTTCTCTCTCCTTTTATTCCTTTTACATCTGTTCTTGGTTCTGCTCGGCTGGTTGTTTCCCCCTGGTAAAGTCAGGTGCATTTTTTTTTCTCCCCCTAAAAAGAGGAAATTCTTTAGAGCGCGCGCACACTGGGAGAGGATGGGGTCGGGGGAAGGGGGTGGAGTAAGGGCCGGAGGCCTGACGCGGGCGCCCGGAGGCCGGAGGGGAGGAGTGAGGGAGGGGCGGGGCACGCTGTGGCGGTGTCCGCGGCTCCAGGGGCGACCGCACCCCGCGGCGTCTCCGGGCGCCAAGACAGCGAGGCTCCCCCGGCCACCAATCCTGCCGCCTCCCCTCCCCGCCCGGTGACGCGGCGCACAAGAGGGCAAACTCCAACCTGCGAGAGAGCGGCTGGCTTTGCAGCAGGACGCATTCGCAGCTGGGCACGGGGGGGTAGTGGACCAGCCGGAGATTTGGAAGGCGGGGAGGCCCTGGGGAAGACGCAGTCCTGGCCTTGTGCTTGCAAATTGAGGATAAGTCGGGGGAGGAGAGGAGCCCCTCCAAGCCCGCCCTTCCTCTTGTGTCCCCTGGAGGGTACCTCCAATAGGCCTGATACTTGGCTTGGGCTGAGCGGAGAGGGTGGAGGTTATAATCACTTTGGGAAGCCAAACTTGTGTTCTCCATTTGGCGAGGAAGACTCGTCCCCAACGGAAGGACAGATGGAGTCAAAGGCCGACGCACAGCTGGGGCCAGGATGACTGCGGAGAGGGGAAGGCGGAACTTGGAAAACCTTGGAGAAACCGAGAAATCTGTGATACACATGGTGCAAACCACGCTTTATTATGCCGCGCTACTACTCGGGGGTGTGTGAGCCTCTGGGCACTCCCCTCTGCCACCCGGAATGACGACAGTGGATAGGGCTTGCGAACCCCTTTTTTATGCATTCAGCGCCATCACAGCGCCTCCAGGATGTTTTATGATGCTGATTTATGGGCAGAAAGGCTGGGTGGTTGAGGCTAAACACCTCCCAGAGATCGCTAAACAAGCAAGTTTGCAAGCAGTGTTACTCCTGGTAACACTTTCAAAACTAACTTGTGTCTCAGCTGAAGGAAAATGCCAGCAAAACGCCAGTCTCCCCTTCAACTATCTATAATAATCAGTAGAAGTTGATAAATGGCTTCTAATTAAAAATGCCCGAGGAAGGACTCTCAGCTCTCTTAAGAATGACTAGCCGCATTTAGTAGATGGTTTCTGCAATTTTTCATGTAGGTCAAGGGGAAGAATTCATTTGCTAAATATTCGTTCTCTCCTTCAGAGAGGACCAAAACTCTGCACCAGGGTCTTTTGAAAGCAGAGGAAAGATACTTGTTAACATTCGTGGAGGGAGATATAATTGCTTTGTCTATGCTCAGGACAAAAGAATAATGAAAGCACTTATTTTCTAGCAGGTATTGTCATTAAGTACGGTCGGGTGGGAATGGACTCATAGCTGAGCCTGTAGGGAGGTTTCAGAGGCAGTATAATCACAAGAGAGATCGCCCATCTTTCTCTGACTTGCTCAGTCAGTGGGGTGGATTGAACCCTGGCGCCTTCAGTTTCAGCTGCTGTAAGCTCCCTCATAGTAGACATGCTGCATGTTTAAACAAGCATTGTTTAAACAAGTTCAGCTTGTTCAGCTTTCACTCATGAAATCCCTTTGTCATTGAAGAGATTGATTATACCCCTTTAACGTCTTCTTGGACCTCGACTACCCTAACCTCACCCTTACTAACTAACCCCCACTGCCTTCGTGTCCCTTGATAGGTAAAACTCAACAAGGGTTCAGATTGATGTGTTTGTCCCTTGATAGGTAAATCTCAACAAGGGTTCACATTGATGTGTTTAAAGCTAAATCAAATCTCATGCACCTTCCTCCCCACATACACACTTAAAACCTGCCACTTCCCCACACATACATGTACTTGGGGCTGTCACTGTATTTCCATTATTCTTGCCTCATTGCACTCTTTCAGATAGAGTAAGACGGCTTAACCTTTCTGCCTACCTTTCTTTTTTTTTTTTTTTTATTTTGTGTGCGTGTACCGTCAAATCACATCCGACTGGTACAGGAGGATATTGCGCCTCCTTCTCCGGCAGAGCGTCTGGTGGATTCGAACGGTGTTCCTCTGGGATTGCAGTGCAGCTTCTTGCCACTAGGCCACCAGAGCTCCCCCTCTGCCTACCTTTCTAACCTCATCCGGTACCATCACTCCATATCCAGTCGCACTGCCTTCTTTTCTGTTGGTACCTCTGACTTTTTAGAACCTCTCTATACCCTAAAGGTCCTTCTGCTTTGCAAAGATCTGTGTGTGTCTCTCTTCAGTCACATCTCAAGTTGAGCACCAACCAACTGTGGAGTGATCCTCCCTGGCCATCCTACCCCAATATCTTTTCCACCACAAACTCGATATCCCAACAATTTATTTCATTCACAGTATCTGTCAGTGCTGCAATTCTGTTGTCTTTGTTATTGGGTTACTTATTTTGTTTTATTTATTGGATAACTGTGCTCTCACTACCCTTGAAAGTTAAAGCGCTGTTATATTTCAGCTCATGAAATAGTACCTACCAATGCATGAAACACAATGTATATAATTTTTGTATGCACACCTTTACAAAACTTAAAAAAGAAAAAAAATATTTCGAGAAAAAAAAAAGTACCTACCACATAATGGGCCTCTATTCCCCAAATAAACTCTAATAGACTAGTGCCAATGTGAAGCAGTTCAAATCTACCAGCTGCTATGCAGGAGAGAGAAAGACAGTCTTCTCCTGTTGGAGAATCAGCTATGAGATGGTTCTGACTAAATGACTATGAACGTAAACAATAGCCACTCCATAGAGACTCTGGTGGCCTAGTGCAGAGTTGTTCTGGTAATCCAAAGGCAGGTAGTTTGAATCCACCAGCAGCTCCTCTGAAGAAAGATGGGCCATCTCCCTCTGAAAACCCACTAGAGGGTCAGCTATGAGTTGGTTCCAACTCAACAACAACAAACAGCAACAACAGCCACTCGATAGAAAGATGTAGCAGTCTGCTTTTGTAAAGATTATAGCCTTGGAAACCTATGAGGAAGTTCTACTCTGCCCTAGAGAGTCAATATGAGCCACATCTACTCGACAACAATATTGTTGTTGTTATGTGCCATCAAATTGTGAAGTGCATCTGATTCAGACCATAGTCTTACCGATTACTAGCTATACATCTGAGAGCTGGACCCTGAATAAGGATGACTAAAAGAATTGGTGCCTTTAAGCTGTGGTGTTGGAGAAGAGCCCTGAATATCCCATGGACAGCCAAGAGAATGAACAGATATGTCTTGGAGAGAGTGCAGCTGGAGTGTTTTTTGGAGGCAAGAATGATGAGGCTTCACCTCACATACTTTGGACACGTTGCTAGGAAGTGCTATTTCTTGGGACATGATGTGGGAAGGGGACAGGCTTGGTACAGGAGAAAGAAGACCCTCAACCAGGTGGATTGATACATTGACTGCTGCAATGGGCTCTTGTGCATTAGGAAATGTGAGGATGGCGCAGGATGAAACAGGGTTCAGATCTTTTGTTCATAGGATCACTATAAGTTGTACTCAACCCGACAACATGTAACAACAAAAACATAGCAACCCAATGCAGAACAGCTCTAAACCTTGCTCTATCCTGAGCTAGCCTCACTGTCTCTGACACACCTACCCTGTTTACCCCAGTTATTGTGCCAATCCATTTTCTCCTGGGTCTTCCTCTCCTGTGCTGTTCTTCGACCTTTCTATGTATAATTTCCTTCTCCAAAGATTAGCCCCTCCTGGCTAGAAGCCCAAACTATGCCCAAACACAGTCTCAACATCCTTGCCTCCAAGGAACAGATAGATTTCACCCTCTCCAGGACAGATCTGTTAGAGCTCTGTTGGCCTAGTGGTAAGAAGCTAGGCTGTGATCCCGAATGCATGGGGTTCAAAGGATGGGTCATCTCCTCCCATATGATTGATTAACTGCCTCTGAAAACCCATTGGATGGTCAGCTATAGGTCGGTTCAACTCGACAACACACAACAACAACAGTTCTCGACAGCGATGGGTATTCACAAAGTGTGCATTGCATGTCTGGAAAAATATTTGGTTGAACGCATGTGTGGACAAATGGTTAAGTCTGTTTAAAGAAGAATTTGAAGCCATAACTCAAAATTCATTTTCCATGATCTTCATTGTGGTATATTGTCTCTTTGCAGTCTTACTCATTTTAACTCTTCCATAGGACTAACTTCTTGAACTATAAACTCATATAGGAAACAAAAGTATTGTTATCAAATATTTATTTCAATCTAAAAAGAAGGAACAAATAGCTTATCTTTATGCATTATTCACTGACATTTTTTTCCAGTTGTTTAGTTTAAAAACAAATGGGAAATAAACTTTAAATACTTATTTCCTCATTAATTCTTATACTTTGTAATTCAAGCATGTGCAATTCGAAATCTCTGGACCACTTCACAATACCCTTCACTGAACATACTGAACAGTATACTGTCTAGAGTTAATTATTTCATTTGAGAGAGCAAAGAAATAAAAGCCTTTTTAAATATGCAGAAAATCCTCTTAGGTAGAATAAGACCAAAAAGACAGCGTCAGAGAGATGTCGAAGTCTGATCCTTTTGAAGGAAACATCATAGTGTGGCTGACACGAGGTCTACCTTTAAAAGCGAGGTAAACCTGCTTCTGATTTTATGGTTTGATCAAGTTTAAA